ACTTGAGAACATCTGAGAGTATTAGCTGAAATGGGGAGATGGTTTTATTTTTTGTAGGATATTTATCATTTTAAAATAAATTTTGTGTTTAATTGTTTCAGGTTCATTGAAGTTAATGAATAAATGCCTTAATTGATTACATTTTAATGTAGTTATTTGTATAAATGTATATCTTATTACAATGCTTATGTTGCTCCATTTCTGTACTGAGCTGGTGATTTTCCACATAGTCCATTAGTGTGTACTGCTCTATATTTGGTTTCTGGTTTCATTTTAATGCCGTTGAATTTGCTGAAATAATGGCATAAAGAGAAGGGAGTACTGAACAGATTTTGAATGAAGTAAATTTCCCTGTGGCATTGCAGTAGAAAGGAATGTAGTCTTTTATTTTGATGATGTTCATTGAATGGATGGCATGACACTTTGCTTTTCAGCTCAGCTACATAGCACTATGGAAAAGGTCACTTTGTTATTTCTAAGGTAGCTTTTACATGATGTGGCTACCCACAGAGCTTTACCAGTAATTTTCCTTTGCAAATATTTTTTCTTTTCTTGTAGGCTTTGGCTTCCTGAGGGCATTCAAAATGGCATAACAGACTCTGTCCAAATAGAAGTAGATGGTGTGGGGAAGGAGGTGGTGGAAGGGGTAGGACAGAAAATAACCCCTAGATTAGTATCACTATATTTTAAATTTGTAAAGTCAAATTTTAAATCTGTGGCAATTCATTTTTGAAACTCTAGGACAGGGGTGTTCAACCTCTAGCTTGCAAGCCAGATCTGACCCCTGGCACTTTGTTATCCAGCCTGCAGGGCTCCCCACAAGCTGTGGCCTTGTGTACCTGATCAGGCACTCAGGGCTTAATCCTGGCATGCCAAGCCAGGTGGAGGTGGTGTAGAGCCCCAGAGCCCAATCCCAGCCCATAGGGCTGGGCAGAGGCAATACAGGGTTCCAGGACCCAATCCCAGTGGGGGCCAGCCAAGGCTGTGGAGTCCCAATCCTGGCATCTGGGGTCCAGTCCAACCCAGAGACTGGCTCCGTACTACTCATCTGGCCCATGGGGCCAAAACTTTTGAGCACCACTATTCTAGGATGTCAAATGCTATTAATCCAAGTTATTGAAGTATTGGAGTTTATTAACCTTTGCAGGCTGTTCTCTAATCTTGTAAACTTTCATGCCTGCCAGGTGTATAGACCCATTAGCCATGTGTAAGGAGTGCAGAAATTCCTATGCATTATTTGGGCTCAAAGTGATTCTGTTTGTAGATCAGGATGAAAATCTATACATCCTTCCAAATATCATATTCTAATTTCACTGCAATGTCCATAAATCTCTGCTGATGGGGCAAATGCATGTTTTCTCTAGCAGTCCTTTACTGACAGATTGTGATGCCGCTTCCATGAAGACTGCAGGCAGTTTGAATTTATTAACTAGACAGTGGCATAATAAGCCTTATGTATTGTGCCTTTGTGTCTGACAATAGGACAAATGTAGCAGGGCAAGGTCTCCTGGCTCTTTGTTTTTTATAACTTGTAGTTTTTGTTGTCTTAGAGAGAAGCAATAAACACTTTAACTTTTATTTAATTTGCTGTTTAGCTGATCATTTCCTGTTTCTTCCTAGTTCATCCTTGGAATGATATCAATATCCTACTAATACACGGATACAAATATCTATCACTATTTTACTATATATATATTGATAGCTGAAATTTTTTACACTTAAATTTTTTATAACAAAGGCGCTTTTCATGAAGAGTTTTGTGTAGAAGTTTCCATATTTTGGTCATTTAAAAACGTGCAGTAAATAGTTGAATTTTTGTTTATAATTGTAAATGTTTTTCTGTGGATTAGAAATAAAGTCCTTGAAACAAGTCTTTACTCATTTTAGCCTGAGCATGACATCTTGCTCCATACATGTGTATTCATTCCAAGTATAAGAGTGGTCTCTGTTGCCCCCAAGTCCAGCCAGATGCACTGTTCGAGCAAAGGCAAGTGTGTGGAGCACCTGCTTGTAGGCACACCATACAATAGTAGAGCACTTTAAAATATGCCCAGCTAAAATTGGCAGGAAACCAGCCTTCCCAGGCCTTTGAAAGGTGGTTTCTGATACAAAGTCTTCCTATTATTTCACAGGCATTTTATGACACCATGTAGGTGGTGAGCCAGTGTTACTGTGCACCAAATAATGATATTTACCAGCCACTTTAGACAAATATAAATTCTTTAAGTCTCTAAGTCTGAGTAGGAAGATAAGGTGGTGCTGTCATTGATGATTACTATGTATGGCCTGTTTGTGATAGACCACACTTTCACTGTGATGTTAGGAAGTGGTTTTGGAGGGGAGAATAAGTCCGTGCTTAATGCTAGTTTGTTTTTCCCCCATTTTTATTTTTTGGGGTCTAGCAACTGTTGCTTTGAGAAGGCAGGTAAATTAGAACTTCACTGCTCCACTGGGATAGATGAATAGGGTTATCCAATTTTATGGTAGGGAATGAAAAGGATAACAAGAGCCTCTGAACACAAGCTCAGCACATTGTGCATCATGTAGAACAGGGGCGGGGAAAATACAGCTGGGAGCCATTCTAATTGGCCCACGGGGCCCCTAGAAACTTAGAAAATGAATACATATTTATCTGTCCTTGGTTCCTGTCAAAGATGACAGGAGACAGGGGCAGTAGGACCCAGGGGAGTCCCCAGTATGCTCCTACAACAGCAGGGCCCACCTGGCCCCGCCCCCCCAGCCGGAGGTCCCAGCAAGGACTTCTGGCCAGGGACCATGTGGCTCCCCTTGGCTGCACTGGTGCAGGAACAGGTAAGGGGGAGAAGGGGAAAGAGGGCAGGGGAGGACTGTGGGCAGGGAATGAGTTTGTGCTGAGTGCAGGGGAAAAGCAGGAGCACCTCCCTTGCCCCATGGCCCACGCTCCCTGCTGCAGCTGCTTGCAGTCCATGTGGGGCTGTCCTGAGCAGGCACAGGCAGCCCCACATGGGCTGCAAGCAGCTGCAGTGTGGGGCACTGGCCATGGGGCAGGGGAGGGGCCATATTTCCTGTGCACTTATAACCTGCCCCCCACTGCCAGCCTGGGCCCCATGCTGGCTCTGGGCTCAGCCATTGGGGCTGCACCACAGCGGGAGTAGCTGCAGCCCCCCTGCTTGCTGTGCCAGGCAGTGTTTGCTGCTGCAACCCGCCCAGAGCTCCCACGCTGGACAGCACAGAGGCAGCAGTGGCAGCCGCACTGCAGCCTACCATGGCACGAGCTCCGGGCAGGCAGCAGCAGCAAACGCTGCTCAGCATGGCAAGCAGTGGGGCTTCTTTCCTCCATGCCGAGCAGCTGCTGCCGTCATGGCACAGCCCCAACAGGCAAGCCCAGAGCCGGTGTGGGGCCCAGGCTAGCAGTGGGGGCGGGTTACAAGCTGGTGCTGAGTGCAGGGGAAAAGCGGCCCCTCCCCACCCCATGGCCAGCGTCCCGCACTGCAGCCACTCACAGCCTGTGTGGGACTGCCTGTGCCTGCTCAGGACAGTTCTGCATGGGCTACGAGCGGCTGCAGAGCAGGGTGCCGGCCATGGGGCAGGCAAGATGCTGCTTTTCCCCTGTGCTCAGCACCAACTCATTCCCTGCCAGTGAACACAGGGTCAGGGTTGAACACTACCCCCCACCTGTACCACAGGGCTGAGGGGGGCACTGAGAGTTAACGGGCATGGTAGCCAGCAGGGGAGTGGAGCTCACACTGGTGTCCTGGGGTGAGCGCTGGTGGGGCCCAGAGCAGGGTGGCAGGGGTACAGGATCCTGGCCAGTAGGGGCTCTATGGAGCTGGTCCAGCTCCCCCCTCTCCCTGTGGGTGCAGCCCAGCCCAGCTCCACAGACCCCTGCCAGCCTGCACCCCACTCTGGGCCCCGCCGGCGCTGGCCCTGGGATATTGGTCCCAAGACATTGGTACATTGGTCCCAAGATGGTGACCAGGGGGCCGGGCACCTGTCAAGGGCTGGGGCACCTGTCAAGGGGTGGGGCTACCCATGTGGCCCTTGACAGCTTCCCAAAACTGGGTAAGCGGCCCTCCATCCGAAATAATTGCTCGCTCCGATATAGAACAACAGCCAGCCTCTGTCCTTTGAAAAACAGACACTGCACTTTTTTGTGTTCTATGGACACTTTTTATGCAACATTAATTAAATGAGAGAAGACAGAAAAGAAAATAGGTGTCAGTGCCCAGTACACATCATGTTTACCAGCCTTACTGCCATTTAGTATCTCTCTTGTATTGTATTTTGCTTTTATGTAATGAGCATTATTTGCATTTAGCTCCTTCTCTATACACAGAAGCATTTTCAAATAGGTTAGGAATAGTTTGGTTTTTTTGTTTACACACACATGTGCACATGCACATACACTGGCACATGTATTGCTGGTTTCAGTCAGTCCCCTTCTACCTACTTGTCTTATTTTTTATTTCTGCTTGTATTATGTGCTTTTCAGGGCAGTGACTGGGTTATTGTATATGTGTGCTATGCCTATCATATTTGGGCTGCTGTTCTAACATTCCTGTGGCAACCATGTTCTAATATACAAGCATGTAATGCATGAGGATCATATATTGCAAAAATTCACATTCTTAGCCATTTAAAATCCAAACTGTTATCAAGCGTCTCTTGCACTTCTCTTGCAGAAGATTTTGGTGAAAACTTCCTTCAGGTCCAGTTTTCCTAGTAATTTGACAGCAATATACTCAGGAGGAGTCCTGATGCACAGTCTGCCAGCCAGCAGATGGACATGATTTAATAATTTATTATACTCTAGCTTTCCTGCAAAAGCAGGAAGAAAACATTTTCCTAATTTCTTTAAAAGGAAGAAGATAAGTGAACCTCTGCCCTTCTGTATGTCTTAGTTTGTCTCTTGTCATGAAGTTTAAAATAAAACATACATCAAAGGACTTTTATTTTTTGTGTATACTTTTATAAAGGCTTTTAAACAATTAACAGGCTTGTTTGTTTGTTTATTCTCTCAGGGCATTTTACCTGGACAAGTCAAATCTGCCTCCAAATTCAACATCTAAAGCTGCTTATGTAGACAAGGTAAACAAAAGTGAACTGTCTAATTAACCTCTGCATGTTATATACTGCATTAGTCTTAATCCCCTTTTTTTACTTAAATTTGAGCTCTCTTTTTTTCAGGACTCTATGGCTGTTTTCCAGCCCTGCTTCAGCATAGCATGCCCCACTAGGAGGCGTTGTGCTTTGTGAGATGCAGCGTATGCTCACATGTGAAGCGAAACAATTTCTCTGACTACAGAGGGTTAAATGGGGCTTTGCTTGTTCCTTGCCCCTTTGGGCAATTGTCAGTATCTGGCACGCTTGCAGATAGCAGTGTCTGCTCTGGAGAATGAACTGCATAGATCCTGTTCTCTGGAAAAGAATTCCTCACAGGGTCGCCATTAGAAGCTCCTCACTAACCCTGAAGTGGCTTCTCCTTTCAGTATTACGAAAAACATTTCCCTTTTCTTTAAACCTTTATTCCTGGATGGTCAGAATGGCATGAAGTATCGCTACAACTTTTGGAGACCGTCCCATTTTACAGCACAGAAGTTTTTTTATGAAAAGTCTCTAAGGGTGTTTTTACATGTGCTCTGGGGATTGGGGGTGGGCACTGCTTTAATTAGAGTGGCTCTGAGAGCCACTCTAATTAAACAGCCTCAGTGTCTCATGTATCAGCATCCCCACACTTAAAAATGGCGGCGGGGGTGCTTGAACTAAAGCTCATTTGAGAAGCTTTAATTCAGGTGTCCATGCCACCATTTTTAAGTGTAGGGACACTGATACATGAGATGCAGGAGGCTGCTGGAGCACAGTAATTGCCATGCTCCAGCAGAGTTGAATAATCAAGTCTGCTCCTACGTGCTGTAATTACAGTGTGTTGGAGCAGCCTCCACGTTCGTGTTCAGGCACCCTAAGGCCTTATCTGAACTAGAAAAATTGAACCAAGTTTACTGATTTAAACCAATTTAAACATTGATCTAAACCAATGCAAGCTAAGTGGATATAGTAAAGGTTAAACCAACATAACCTTAGGGCTATAACTCCCTACAATAAGGGGTTTGCACTGGTTTAACTAGATTGATTTTTAAATTGATTCTGTAAAACTAGTATACTTTTAAAACATAAGTAAATATAGACATAAGCAATAGTACCGTTTCCCCAAGGAATTGAAATAGCCAGGAGGGGATGCTTTTCTAGATTTTAAAAATTGCTTCTTTGGGATGCAGGATTCCTTCTGCTGGAATCTGTAGGTATCTCTTGGGTTGATTGTGACTCGGAAATCTGCAGAGCTGTGACTTGGAATTCATTTCACTTGTTCAAAAAGCACTGTGAGATGGGCACTGTCTTTAGCATCTAGCCATATCCTGAAGACTGTTCTTTCTAAATGAAATATGTATATACTTTCAATTTTGTAAAAAGTTAAACTGCACTTTTCAGTTTTCCTTGCTAATTGTCTCGTGGCTTCTTCTCTCTCATTCCTCTGCTTGGTACTTCCCAGGCTTCAGTCAGGAATAGTGAATGGACATTTGCATAAACAAATAATAGTTCTATCTGAACTATAAGCTGATTTTTCTCAGAGTCCATTTGCCAGTCCTGGCACCCCTGTGTTTATGTCCATGTTTGCACTTGTCTTTTCACTTTAGACCATTTAACTGTCACCATCTTGAGGAAGTTCATATGCCTCTTGATAGCAAATGTTGAATCATGTCTGTTCTTTCTTGCTTCTAGTTAATGCGGCCCCTCAATTCTTTGGATGAATTTTACCGGCTGGTAGGGTCATTTATCAGATCCAAGCGCACAGCTGCTTGTGCTTACACTGCTTGCAGTGCGTCTGGAGTTGGATTGCTCTCGGTTTCTTCAGAACTTTGTAGCAGACTTGGAGCTTGCCACATCATAATGTGCAACAGTGGAGTTCACCGGTATGACAGCTTTATTTGCTTTCCTTTATTTCACTTGGCCATTGCAATTCAGTTTGGAGAATTACTTTACTTATAAAGCCCTTGCTGTGTTTTTTTTCTGAGTATACCCCATTTAGTATCTAATGAACTGTAAAGTATCTAAAGAGCTTGTTTTTGGTGAAATTTGGAAAAAGTAGTACAGTTGCAGTGAATGACAAAGTAAACAATCTCATTTTGTTTGTAGGTTTCAATACATTCTTCTTCATACTAGTTAATACAAGGCAAAAAATTAGATTTCTAAATCATAAGAAAAAATGCTTTCCTATTCCTATAATATATCATGACTATCTTGAACTCTGCCATAGGCAAAAAAATTTAAAACATAGCTGGCATTTGATAGGCTGGAGGCTATCTTAGTAGTAGAAGGTCTCAGAAAAACAAAGTGGAGATGTATCTGCATGTTTGGTCCAGAAGCTTTCTCTTAACAGAAAAATCAAGCCCTTGACATTTTGAATTTTCAATTGATTTGATATATACTCTATTGTGCTAAGCTCTGAGTGACCTAAACGTATTTATAAATGAATAACCAATTTATATAAAGGTCACTAGCATGTTAGTGAAATCAATTCAAAAGAACAATATAATTTAAATACCAGATGTCTAGGTTAGAATTTGCTATGTACTACCATAAACAAGCATGAGTTACAATTGAGGAAATTAATCTTTAAGAACATTATCCCGTAATTGTTTTTTAGATAAGACATTATTTAATGCAAACATGGCTCTTTTTATATAAGGATTCAAACTATATGTTCCAATTAGCCATCTGTTAAAAATGGTGTTTTCATGCTGATGCTTCTTTTCCAAACACCTTCCTCTATTAATTTCAGATCCTTTGCAGATCTGAATTTTTCAGTTTAGCAGGCTCAATTACATTCTTGTTGTTAATTACAAATTTGTTCTTAATTTTGGCCATTTTCTGAAAAAGCTGTGAATGAACAGTATCTTTCTGATCCAATTCAGAATATTAGGTGGGGGAAAGGTGGAACGTCCTGAAGTCCTGTAGCTGTCAGAGAAACCAACGATCCAAGTGTGTTATGAAACAGACTGACATCTCCATCAGTTTAGATCTGATGGGATCATTTATGTGACACTGTTTCATTGACAGACAAATATATGCAGCATGATATATGGTGTTTTAGGCAGTTACACAAAAAGACATATTATTCAATAGCTTTCTTGGTACCAGCCAAGATGGCTGTTTGTGCCCTTACTTTAGCAGATGGAAAAACTGTACAACCTGGATCAGCATGACATTGTCATTTTCAAAAGGTCAGAAAGCAATAGTGCTTTTCTCGGCATATGATTTTCACAACTGATCATTTTGAGAATCCTTCTTTTTCCCCCCTCAAGCCATAACTCCAGCTAATTGCCTGGTTAGCCAATGGAATTATGAGCAGCATTTCTTTCCTTCCTTTCCTTTCATTGCTGACAGGAGGGGGAAAGATTTATTTGGAAATATATATATTTTTACTAGAACAACCATATAGTTGGGAGAGATGCTAGACAAGCTTTTAGGGACAAAATGCCCTTCCTTAGGTACAGGAAAGAAACAAATACAACCTGAATTAAACAATGATTTAAGTTTAACTTCACTATGTAAGCTTAGGAAGTAGATGCTACTATTTAGTCTGACTTCTTTTTTTCCTTCATGTTGTGAATTTTCCATTCTACCTGATGAATTTTGATATCTTTCATGTTGGAGTGATATTATAGTGTTGTTATAGATGTGATAGTTCAGGTAATAAGCAAGAAGCAAGATTTGTTTTGCAGTATCTTTTACTGGACATCTATATAGTTGGGAGACATGTAAGACAAGCTTTCAGGTACAAAATACCTTTCTTCAGGGTAGGTTAAACAGATAAAGCATAAGCTAAATACCAGGTTCTGTTCTCAAACTACAGGATACTTGGAACTTGGTTATAAATATTACCATGGAAGAGAGAGAACTGGGATTTCAAACAGTGCAGCCTCACTTAGGACACATATGAAGCATGTGGTTCTTAAAAATGAAATAACAGCTAAGAATTGAAGGGTAACCAGTTAGTCAAGCTGGGGTATTGAGCAGCCGAAGATACCTTTCCCACCATAGTTACCAATTGATATACCTATTCCTTATCCGTAACTCTCATTCAAAGACTTTTCTTTGTTGAAGGAACAGGATATTCTTTTTCTTTTGATTCTCATGTGATCAGCAAAGCAGTAGAGCCCAATTCTACTAATTTCCCCACCCTAATTAGGACCATTCTCTGGGAATAGTCTCACTGAAATCGCTCTAATCAATGGAAGAACTGGTGGTTCTCCAATTAAGCAATCATAGCTAAGTAATAATGATTTCAAGACCTAAGATTCTTCATGTAAATGAGGCAAAGGTTCAAATTTCCTTCCAAATGGACTTAACTGGAACAGCTTTTGGCTGGATATCCTTTGTTATTTTCCTCAGGTATTCAGTGTATTTTGCTTTGGGTACAGTACTCTTTCTGGTATTTTTATCATGGCATAGTATTATGATTGTTTGAACATGCAATGATGTCTCTTTGTCTGGTTGTTAAATTTGTTGATAGTACTCTGTGGGCATGTCTAGACATGTGAATTTACTGCACAGTAACCAGAATTACTGTGCAGTATGGGCACATGTCTACATGTGCACACCCATACTGTGCAGTAAATATGGCAACTTATGCCAACTTGAGCATAAATTTGATACCTGCATCATGTAGGTATCAAATTTATGCTCAGTTAGGTACTGCGCAGTAATATGCAGCCTCCCTGGTCTATCCAGGCACTAGGGGCCAGCCTGAGCCCAGTTCCAGGGCTCCTGGCTGGCTGCCTTTCCTGGCTTCAACTTGGGACTAAAGTTAGTCCGAAATGCTGGCACCTATGTGGCCAGAGGCTGGAGC